AACCTGAATATCACATGAATAAGATGCAGATTAGATAAACTATTTGTTAAATTTTTTCCTAATAATATAAATTATGTCCACTGAATCAGGAACCAGTTTATTTGAGAGTTGATTTTCCAAGATCAGTTTAAAAATGCAACTTTATCTAACATTTATACTCATAGCTTTGAGGGTTACAATAATGCTTACCACATTTGGTGCTGCCCTGTTGGATCCATGCCTGTAGACGGTTCATCCAGAAGCAGGACAGGTGAATTTCCCAGGATGCTTAGCACAAAGCTCAGCTGCAAGGCAGAGACACATTCCTATTTGCTGTCACATCCCGCCAGCACTCAGGAAAGAACCAAACACCACACCTACCTTTCTAGTGGTTCCTGCTGTTAATTTCTGCACTGGCACATTCAGATGCTCATGTAGTTTGAAAGCATCCACCAATCTGATGGAAAACACGATGAGAATATGAGGTCAAGAGAGGATTTTTGGAAAATTCAAGCATGCAGAACAATAACAACATTAGAGGGAAGCTTGACAACGTTATTGCCAGAATCTAACTCATAATAAAAGGGGCAAAAATCCACTTACTTTGGAACATGGAAGACTTTTCACCTTATAAAAAGTTTTTAAGAAAAGCTAGAATTCTGAATGAGAAATTGAAAATGGATGATTACTCCATTTTCAGGTTTCTTAAATTAGAAAACGGAAATGGATGACTCCTTCATTTATTCCTTGTCAATTACTTTTATACAATCATTTTTTTTAAAGGTCCCTCATTCAGGGATGCAGGAACCCAAGTCTTTTCCCCCATCACTGCTCTGCCACTGACATTCTGAAAAAGTGGAGACATCATTTCTACTCTCCATTCTTTATTAGTGAAATCATGATGAGTTGTACAGTCTCCTGCTTCTTGACACAAAGGAATCACAGAACCTCTCTGTACCGTGTAATGGCGACCTTTGCGTCCTCTTTCCTCAGCCCCTTCACAGCGGCGTACACCTCCAGGTGCTCCCTCATGGTCAGCATGGGCCACAGCACGTTCTCCTGAGGACAGTACCCCAGGAACTTGACTGTGCCTTCTCCCTGGTGACTCGAAACGGAACTGCATCCTTTCAGTTCCACCTAAAAAAGTAAAACAGCTTTAGAAACACATGTAGCTTTTTTTCCAATCACATAATGACTCAAGAAATTGATATAGTCAATAAAATCCTAAATTGTTTGAACATCCAAGAAATATTATAGAAATTACTTCACGTATTTATTATAGAAAACAATTTAAACAACTAACATAAGGGGGGGTGGGAGGAAGACCTAATAAGCTTGGGTGGTTCCTGAGAAACTGTGATGTAGAAAAGGTCTTTGGTTCCTGGTGACATCCCAACTCCTGTTATAAACCCTTGATACCCAACAAAAATGATAAAAGAGGAAAAATAAATTAATCCAAAAGGCAAAAACAAACAAACAAACAAAACACCAGTCTACTCTTAGAAAGATATAATCTATCTTTATCATGAAATTTCTATTTTGGGAATAGAAACTATTTCCTCATTTTTTACTACCTCTCCAGCCGTTGGCTTTGTGATCCCAGATATCATTCTAATAGATGAACTTTTACCAGCACCATTGGGTCCTAGCAATCCCAAAATTTCACCTGAAAGAAAGAATCAGACTATCAATATTGTAAGTGAAGTACTAATTAACATAAACCTTTTTTCACAATGAAATCTTCTAAGATCTAAGTACTCCTCAGTACCATTTTTAAATTTATAACGTATGTGTACTCATGTGACTAAACCATGTTCTTTAATTCCTGTAATTATATAAAATATTAGTGCAAAGCTTGTGAATTTGATGTCAATACATCTGTCTTTTTTTCCCCACGATTACTCGTTTCAGTTAACAACATACTCAATTGTTTTCTGTAGCAGTTGGCTGGTGCACTGAATACATATATAAATGATTCCTAAACCTGGGAAGTCAGTGACATTTTCTTCATCCCAAGTAAAATCACCTGTGTTCAAGCTACCATCATCTTTCATCTGAACTGATAGAAAAGCCTCTTAACTTACCCCCTGCTTCTAAATTCATGAACAAATGGTAGTCAGTATGTAATCTTCTCAAAATATAAATTAACATCATGACACGAGCGTGCTAAACACTCTCCAGCGGTGTTCCATTAACATGGTATAAAGTGGACACTCCTTGCTGTTCTAAAAAGCTATACAAATCTGGCCCTGCTCACCTCTTTGACTTCATTTTTTCCATTTGCAGATATGTTCACTGGCCTCTGTTTGAGACTTACTCACTCTGAATGTGTCTGAGTCCCTGCCCTTGCTGTT